TAACGCAGGGTTTTCGGGGTTTTAGTTATATATTAGGGTTGGGGTTTGGTTTAGGTTCGTTTTTGGTTTTTTTTTTTTTTTTTTTTCCCAAAGAGTAGCTAATGACTAAGTTGAAAGTGTTCACAAACATTAAAATGGTCTTAAAATTGAAAAATGGATCTGATTTCAAAATTTCATAGACAAATCATAAGCAGATAGAAGGAAAGGCTGATGATTGCTCTAACTCTCAGTTTGCTCCCTCAGTCTTCGGATTGTGCTCCTAACTGTCACAGCACTTGCAGTGTTCAATGTATAAGCACCGCCTGCTTTGACTTTGCCGTAATCTTTGCAGCCCCAAATCCCCACTGCTTTTCTCTTCACTGCGTACTTTCCACAAAACTCGCAAAAATACTTGCTATGCTGGCTAACCTCCATTTTCTTAATCTGCTTTCGCAAACTGGCACCATAACGGGTACCATATTTCCCAACTATTCCAGCCTTCTTGGTCCTCTTAGTCATTTTCGGATGTCCTGCGCGGGAGCAGCTGTCAATGAAGGGCGTTAGCTGGTTTAGGGTTTTTTTTTTTTTTTAGCAATCCACTAGGCATAGCCTAGGGCTAGTTTTTATTTATAAATAGAAGAAAACGAACAAGCACAATGTCATGAACTCCTAACGGATGTACGAGAAGGAAATAAAAATCTACATAAGACCTATTATCAATATTGAGCATTATACTCAAAATTGATATCACAAAAATTCTACTCAAAGTTGCATCGAAACTAGTCCAAGAAAATAAATGACAGCAGCCCACTCCCCAAAGAAGTATACACGTCCAGCCCAAAAGAACACATAGGATTTGCATCGATAGCCTCCAGATTGCACCTCCATCCCAAACGCATGAATTGCAGCAATAGCCACTATTGCAAATTGCAATAAGCAACAGTGCGTGAGTGCTACTGATTTGCACCAACAGCCTTCCCTGTAACAACCCAATTAACATAGCTACTGGTTTGCAGAAATAGCCACAAGTTACTCCAAAGTCCCCGATCTCCTGAATTTGCAAAATTAACCACATTGCTATATGCAGGCCCAATTCCACCCAGCCCAAAGCAGTAGCGGTTTGCATGAGTAGCCCCAATAAGCCCAAAGTACGCATATTTGCAAATATAACCCCTGCACTCTCATTTCCTAATCTACGCGTGTATCCCACTATACAACCCTTTATTACACTTAATGTCCCATTTGTATCTTCTTGTCGCTTCATTTCCACCTGTTTCCGCCCTAGGTAATATCGACCTCCTCTCTCTTCCTTCTCTCTAATGACTTCTTCATCTTTGTTCGAATCAAATCGACTAACTCCATTTTTTATGTGAATCTTCTTGTATGTACCTGAATCAATGGTGTTGGAGGACTGAAGATGGACCTCCCAAAGCTCCTGTTTAACTGCAGCTGCTCTGAAGAACCGATGTTGCCATACTTCAAACATCATTAACCACACCTTTCTGCACCTCAGTGGAGTTGCCTGTGAGAACTTCAATCGATTTTGTACTCTCCCTCCCCGGTAGATTGCTGTAATAGAAAAACCTGGATGTATTTCCTTGTTGTAGCCCTTCTCCTTCTCTATTTCCTTCTCCTTTTGCATCATCCAGTTAAAATCACTATAATTGATGATTTTACTGTCTGCAAAATGTGCAAATAAAAGCCCTAAAAGCTGTGCATGCTTGTTCTGTATGTCTGACAGTGATGTCATGTTTGTACAAAAAAATCCTGTAATCTTGTATGATATCTTGCAATTGCTCTTCTTTGCAACCCCCTCTATACTCTAGATTTAATTTAACTCCGGTGGATTGAGTACCTAGTACTAATACCACCACCTGGAGCTTCCTTAAACCAAAGAGTCTAGATATGATTGCTATAACTGTGACAAACCACATATATGCTTGCTTTGCTTGTGCTGTAATTGTTGCTGTTTGATTATGTTGTACTATGTCTTCCCTTGCCTTCCTCCCCTTGGATTTGAGTATAACATCTAATACCACCAATAAGATTTGTTCAAGGGGAATGACCTGGTAACACAGATGCATCATCCAGCTGAGGTTTGCTAGGATGAAACTTCTGCTGTCTGCATTCTGTGTACAAATATGACCACATGTGTTTGCTTGTTTTTCTTTTATGTGCCTTGATATTGATTTTCTTATGTGCCTTTGATGTCCTGCTATCACCTGTACTATTATGTATTTGCTATTGTCCATGATACTCCTAGCTACTATGCTAAACTCTAATTTTAATTCTTCCCCGATGGATTGAGTAGCAAGTACTAATACCACCACCTGAGGCTTCCTTAAAATATAAAGTTTAGATAGTATGACTGTACCTGCAAAAAAGAACACAACATTAGCAAAAAAATGATCCTTCATGTTCTCCCCTAAACAGGTTTGAGCATGAAACATCCCATCTATAGATCCTGCATCCTCACACACCCCAGTGTGTCCTCCTCTTACTAGTTCTTGTAAATTTTGACCCTCAAGTATGGACATTGTAGCTTGTCTCATTTACTATTCTCCTCCCTTGTGAATCCAACTCCCAAAAGTCATGGCATTCAATGTTCCCATAATCCAGTGCAAAATTTGCCAAATGATCTGCTAATTTGTTTCCTTCTCTAAAAATATGGGATATCCTGATACTGCATCCTTCCATTAGCTCCTGTATCTCCTCCATCAAGTCCACAATAGTCCAAGGGGGTTTCTATGCTTCCTCTATAACGTTTTTCATCAACATGGAGTCAGTTTGTAACCAAACTTGAGAGTAATTTTTATCTCTGC